TATATCCCTACTACAGACGCTCCCCGACTTACGCAAGGCGGAACGCCTTGTGTAAGTCAAATTTTGCATAAGTTGGGGACGTATACCCGACAATTACACACACACACACACACACACACAAAACGGGCGGGAAAACAAACCCACCCCGCTTACGGAACTTATGAATTTTACGAAGCAACAAGAGCTCCAGATGACCTGAACCTTGCCTGGCCAGGAGGGGGAAGATCGCCTGCATGCTCAGGAGTGGTGACCAGTGTATACTTAGTGTGTGTGTTCTGGTTTGGTAAGGGTTAATAAACAGAAGTTAAGGATATTACCATGTAAGGCTCTTTTACTGGGAAAAGACCCTGCAAACATGTTTCATTTTTTCATTAAGGAGCTTTTGTCTTTTAAATAGAATTTTCTCTCTCTCGTTTAATTGGGACATTTTATCCCTAGGAATGTGAGTACATCAGCCATAACACAGTCCTGCTAATATATATCATTACTTTTTGAAGCTAGAGCCTGGGGTTATATTTCTGCCCCTGCCACTGTCTGTGACCTTGGGTAAATCATTCAATCTCTCTGAACCTCAGATTATGCATCTATAAAAGTGCGTCCAATATAACTTTAATAGGCTGTTGGAAAGCTTCAGTAATGTTTGTAAACTACTCTGAGCTCCTCAGATGAAAAATGATCTATATGGGCCTGACATCAGTGGAAAGGCTTGTATTGACTTTAGTGGGAATTGGATTAGGCCCCACAAAAAGGAAGTATTACACTGGCCTTCCAAATCTTTAAAACAGGCTGGTCACAATGGTCATCCATGGGCTTCCCTGATCACAAGGACATCTCATGGCTAACACTGTGATCAGCAATAGATGCCCCAAACCTATAAGGGAAGGCAAGGGGCCATGGCTTCGCACCCATATTCTGCACCAGCTAGGGTGGGGAAGCACAAAATCTCTTATGGATGCTCACTGGGGCATGGTGCCTCCTGGAACTTCTGCTTGGGCAGCGTGATGCTGCACTGACCCCAGAACATGAGCCAATGCCTTAAGGGCATGATTAAAGCCTGTGTTATTATATTATGAGAGCAGAGTGTCACAAATGATGGAAACCTTGTCTTGAAACTGTAACAGAATCTGGAGAGTGCAAGTGATTACATCTCAACAGGAAACAGCTTGGGATGGCACGGTAACTTTAGGGGGACCGATAAAGCATGAGGGACCTCTGAAGGACCCAGGCTTATCCTACACAGAGTCTAAGGATATGATCCTGAGAGGTACTCCATCGATGGGATCCAGCCCCTCTGACAAGGAGCTCACCAGCTCTCCTCATCTAGTCTTAGTGAGCTTGATTTTTTTGTTATGAGGCAAGTACTGAGCTTTGTAAGAAAATGTTTTGCTGTCAGGGAAAAAAATATGACTGTTTCCTATATTATGAATGTATTCATACTTTACACTCATAGTCATCTAGCCCTAAGGCAACTGAATTCTATTAATATTTATTTGATAATAGATGTTTAATATTTTACACATATTATTACAAAGTCATAGATGAGGGGGCAAAAAACCTACTGATAAAATATTACCTCAACTCAGAGATGAACGGAGTTGAGAAGAGAGAGAGAATTTTTACAAGATCCTGACAGAATAATCCCCAAATCCTATAACATACTGCAATGTGAAAATAACTGTTCCCGCTTTCTATGGCTGATCCAGGTGTTACCAGCAATGAATGCTTTGGATACAACTCCAAGTGGTTTGCGCGTTTTTTTGGTCTCAAGTGGCCCAAGTAATGTGAATAGATGAGAGAAAGGTTCCTCTTTTGGTTAGGACCCTGACTTAGGACTCATTCCTACCCATTCTGCTGTGAGCAGGGCACTTCAAGGCTGCAGAGGAAAAGGCAAGATTTGCCCGTTACAGACTAATCCTGGCGAGTATAAGAGGGCTTTGGTTCCACATGGAAATGACACAGAGCTGAGAGAGAAAATTTTCAGTTTGAACCAGCCATGGCTGCTAACACAGGGCATGGGGAAATGTAGCAGACATGGCTTGCAGATTCCCCACTAAACAGGGCTTTGGCTCAGCACATACATACAGCACATGGATACGCTGGTCACAGTACTTGCTTTGGTCTACTCACAGTCCTCCTTCCACAAGGAGCTGCAGAGACCCACCATGACAATCTTCTCTGTGGAATGGGCGGGGGGTGGAGGGAGGAGGGGAGTCTCATTAGTGCTGTCTTCTGTGCATCCATATTGTACCCTCATAACCTAGCACCCTGTAACATTGAACTCTCCACATTTATAAAATGTTACCAGGGAGAAGACGGCAATCCTGTTCCAGTAACCAAGCATTACTTCAGGCAGGTGAGCCTGTAGAGTCATGCAGGCTTACAGCACACAGAGACTTCCTAGAGGAAGGAAGGAAGGAAGGAATGTTGCTTGGCATTCCATCTGTTCATTGTGTGAACACATTACAGCATGCAGAATAGGAACAGGCCACTGTGTATTTATTTTACTCACAACTTCCTGGCTATGGTAAGCCATAGAGTAAGCTCAGGAAGTTGGCTGGCTAATGAGCTCCATCATATTGTATGATACATGGCACACACTACCTCGTAACTTGGAAAGCCAGCTACTGGGTTTACTCAGGCATGCTTGGTAGCTGATTCTCCAAGGCTACATAGTAAAGAGCGCCACATGTCAGGAGATGGGATTAAGCCATATGCTGCTAAAAAGGAAAGTACAGATGAAAGATGAAGCAGAGGAAGCAAGCTGCATCCCGGTATGGAGGTTATAATTTTAAAATACAAGTGTTATTTATTGTACTGATACTGTAACTATAAAATGCAAACTGCTGATGTTTCTGTTGAACAATTACAGCCTGTATTAAGTGATTCATTTTAGACCCTGTAGTTAAAAGCAACCCAGGAAGTCTTGAAATTACTCTCTGGTGCTGCAGAGACAAGAAAATGTAGTTAGCCAGCAGAGAAAGACCATCTGGACCTAAATCCTTCTCTGACCATAGTTTTCAGCATGCCTCTATCTAACAAAAATTAAAGGCAGCTTTGCGGAGTAACACTACAGTCTGTAGAGCTAGGGACTGCAACTAAATTACATGATTTTCCACAATATTCTGACAACAGCATTTTTTGTAGGCACCTGCATTTTGCCAGGAGGCAGCACATGGCCTCAGGTCTGTACCAGGAGCAGTGGATTAAGTGAAGAGGCACATTTGCAAAGTCTACCATCTGCAGAAAGAATATTACATTCCTAGCAGAACTAATATTACATTTTAAATGTATATTAATCCTAGTATTATCTGGGTTATGATGAGCATAGTGAGGAGAGTCATTAATAAACTGCTGAGCTATCTGTCTATTACAGATGTTTTGATGCAGCTGGGAACTCAGATCAGAGTCAGAATAGAGCTAGATGAAGCAATATACATTCTGCTACCTTGCACATTGTGGTATGTCAAAGATGAAAGTGTTTTATTTAGGTCAGGCTTCACTTCCCTGGAGACAGAAGAATAGATATCAAGAAATTAGAGCACTGTTGGGTCTTATTCCAATAATCCAGTATATGCCAAAATTTCAGTTATGGCGAGGTGGGGGTGTTGTGCATCTGTCTAGCCCTGTCTATCAAAGTGATTTTCAGCAGTTAAAATCCACAATGACTAAACAGTCCGGACAGGCTAGTACATTACTTGAGAGCATTGGGGCCATATTCTGTCATACAAATTATCATCAAAGTCCCATAGGTACGATTGATCAAACTCTTTGCCCTTTCATAGAAACAAATAACTCATTCAGTTAAAAATCAGTGTTCTAATTTTAAAACTCAGCAAGCAACATCAAGCTGAGAAATCTGGCTCTAGGAAAGGACTCAGGCTCCCTCTCCTTAACCAGGCAGAGACTGGTTTTATCAAAGGCAGATGCTCACATCTCTCCTCTAGCACTCCCTGCCAGTGTGGGGTAACATTTCTTGGCAAGGGCCTTGCCTTCCCTTCTGTTGCAATAATGCTCTCTCTCTGACAAGTGGGAGGAAAAGATTTTCAGAAAGTCAGAGGTGGAAAATGAGTGGCTTTGTAGTATGTCTCAGTCTGAACGCATTACCTGAAGATATTTTCTCATTATTTACAGAAATTCATCCTTGTCTTTATGCTAGTGTACATCTTTATTCCAGAGACTTGACAGCCACAAAACACAAACTTCAATATGTTCAGCTCACATTTCAGTAGCAGAGATTGTAAATCTAATTACGTAACGCAAATCAGACCTCTTTTTCATTTCTCCAACTATGTAACTCAGAATCAGTCTTTCATTTGTATCAAAATCTGAGAGAATCTCTTAAATTGAGCAATGTTGCATTTTCAGGATGGTATTTATTCATGAGGGGAGGCAGAATGAGATACACAAATCACACAGAGTATTGCAAATGGTAAATAAATGAACAGTGTATGACGAAAGAAGAAAATACGAGCAATTATGCAAACTCAGTACTCTGTGAATATCTTAAATCCTCAGCAAAGGCAGAGGGGAGACAGATGAAACAATAGGGCAAATATGCTATCTCCAAAGTGAGCTCCTCAATTTAAATAAACAGAGGAATCTAGGAGAACCTTCCCCATTAGATCTTTGAGAAGCTCCCCTCCCTATAGGTGATTGCATTATAAGTGGGGCAAAGAAGTCTTCTCCAAGCTTCGTCATAGCAGCTACCACTACCACCTGTGTGAAATAACGACATCATGTTTGTATCCTCCCCTCCCCAACTACATTGTTCACAAGGGAGCCTCTGCTTTTCATCCCATCCCTCCTGTACACAACCCATAGGTGTAGGATTTTATGGCTGGCTTGGTACATTACATGAACACACAGACAGACAGCAGTTATATAGCTCCTTCACATACTACCTCTGCTATCCTTTGTCTGCTTCTTCGCCTATGATATGGGGCAAGTCAGATTTTATAAGAACAAATCATCAGTGCTTGTTGTTTGTTACATTTTCTTACCCTGATCCCAAGCTCCACATTCTCTCCTCCATAGACCTCCATGCCTTCATCTAGTAAGCCAATCTCTTGGAAGTACTCCCTGTCTACTATGAAGCATCCAATCAGTGCAGGACTTCTGCATGAATACAACAGAACAAAAAAAAATAACAGTTAGAAAGCAAGTAAGCTTCTTCCTTTTTTATTGTCACTCAAACAGATTGTAGTTAGTGTCACTGGGCCATACTGGGTGTAAGACCATGGATCTGCATTGGAGTTACACCCAAGATGGATTTGGCCAATTTTGTCTTATTGTGTTATTTGTATTTTAAACCAAATTGAGTGCTGGTGGAAGGTGCCAAACTGACAATGCTGAAAACTGAAGCCCTCAGTACAGGAGGAGCAACAAGAGTGATGCTCCCCTGCAATGTTTTGCCCATGTGTCCAAGCTCTGTTTTGAAGAGACCAGCTGTAGTCAGAAGAGGGTTGCAGTCTCTGTTGCCACTCAGCTCTTGGGTTCTCAATGTAGACTGCCAACAAGGGTACCAATTAGTGCAAATTTTGCCCTTGATGAAGGAAAGCACTTAACCACATGCTTACGTCCATCCCCTGGTCAGGAAAGCATTTAAGTGCATGCTGAACTTTAAGCTTAAATTAACTATCTGCTTAAGAGTCCTTAGTGAATATATGGATGCTTTCTTGAGTCTGGGCCTTTTTTGTTGGCTTTTGTAATATGGACACAAGAAGTGGGTATGAGATAACTCACTCCTTTCACTGAAATGTTGTAAAATATTGATGTCTTTCAACCACTGCTAATCAGGGACAAATCTAAATCTGTGGACTACAGGTGAGAGTCTCCATAGGTACGATTGATCAAACTCTTGAGTCACCCAGTCCTACTGATATTAATTTCCTATTCCTTCAAAATCCTGAGACACTCAGTCTTATAATGGCTGAACCACCATTTAAAGTAGTGAAGATTTGACCATACAGAGTATAAATTTCCCTCTATGAGAAAAGTCGAATGTAGAGTAATGAATCTACCTTTTATAGTGTTTTTAGCTTACCTTGCATGCTGACAAAAACAAAAATGTCATTTTTGTCATAGTGTGAGCAGATGGAGCACTGGGAACAACAGGATATTAATGAAAGGACACAATTCAAGAGTATAGGATAAATCATCCTGCATTTATCAGGAAGAGAACAATCAAACTGTGTTAAATGTAGACATCTGCTTTTCATGTGATTATAAGATTGCTTAATCACAAAACTTAAAATTCTCCCCTTGTACAGATTTAGATATTTGTGTGGTGTTATCCTACACTATTACTGCACCACTTCAGCATAATGAGAAAATATTTCTGATGTATCTAGTAATGAGGAAAATATGAGACGCCCTTATACCATCTAAAAAAAAAATAGTGCTGAGTTTATCACAGAATAGGAAGGTTTCTGAATGTTTTTTTGAAGCAAAGAATCCCTTTGACTTTGTTTTAATTCTGTTGTATATTCACTATGTTTCCTTTCAACAGTGCCTGAAGTAATAACGTGTTGGTTACTGGGGAATGGTCTTAGTAAAGCTATCTAGCCACACGCTGAACTTAATTTATTATTACGTGACACTTTTGTACAATGTATCTCAAAAATAAACAATATTCCAGGACAAGGGCCAGCTCTCATTCCCATTTAAGGATTTTGCAAGGATCAAATCTAAATGCCCATCACTGTAAAGTGAAATCTAACCCCTGTCCATCAGGAATCACATAATTATTGGGTGAAGTGCACAATCAGGACCAGTTCTTTGTTCTGAACTGTAACTATTTTATTTCAAAAAGTCAACAAGAAGATATTAAAAATAATAATTTTCACTGCTACAGGGCCTTCCAGAGGTTATCAAGCCCTTTATCAACATTAATTAAGCTTCCTCATATCCCTATGAGGTGGATATTGTTATCCCCACCGTAAATAAAAGTCTATGGCTGAGCTAGCATTCATATCCAGATCTCCTGACACCTAGTCCTGTTTAAGGACATCCTCTCACCTTCCTAACAAGTGATGGCTACAGATATGGAGTGGGTCAATGCAGCTCTGAGCCAACAATTCCATCTGACAGCTCCAAAGATAGCTCTCAGGTTGACTGTGTGGGTGAATGCAAGAGACACCTACTGATGCCCCACCCCAGCACTTCCAAAGGTACAATTTTTGTACTTCAGTCTCAACCACCTCCTCTCTTTCTGCAAAAGCTTTTGGGAAACCAGAGGGGAGGTTACAGTGAGCTCCTTGGGATTTGCATAGAAAGAAGAACTAGGATCTATGGAGATCTGCTTGGAGGTCATCAATCTTATTTACATGAGACAACACTACCCTTGGTACCATAGAGTAGACAGGGGTCTTCTTCCGCACCAGACTAACAGTTCTCTAGATAGAATAAGCAGGTACAGAGCTAGGTCATACAAAAATAGGGGTTTTCACACACTTCTTGCTCCCACATATATGGGCCAGATTTGTGTGTGTGATTATAACACATAGTAGTACAACTATGTGATATAACCACAAATGTAATAATCAGATATTAATTCATCACTCTGACAGTTGTACCTTTTTGCAATACATTTGTAAACTGCATTGTCTTTCTGGATCATTACCATTAAATTAGCAGACAAGACATTTGTAGATGGCAACACCGAATCAAGCATCAAGTCTTCTCTTTTGCTTTTTTATATTTGCTCTGACTTGCTATATAAAAATGAAGTACATGAGACTGTACAACTTTTTTGTGGTTATCTGAGGGAGCAATGGTAAAAGTGGCAGAGAACAGTGAGAACATTTATTCTAATTTAACTATTGGTCTGTTTGATAAGCAGCCCCCTTGGTCCTTGTTAAAATAAAATGCATGTAGCCAGCCCTTTGTTATTTGTTACATATAACTGAGCGCTTCCCACAAGTCCCAAACCCGTGTCACAGCTGCATGTTACCTTATCGGAGCAGTTGAGTTTTCCAGCTTCCACCATGATTTTGGAGGATTCAGATATCGACACCACAGTTCCCAGTCAAACCCCTGCGCAGATAGGGGGTATTCCTCTATTTCAAAATTATCATATTTGATGTTATCAAACGATGGAGAAATTACCCTTTTTCTGTTTTCCTTTATCCTCGTGAGCACTGGTTCAGCCCTAAAGGAACAAATACTGAGATTGTTTCAACAGAAGCAAAACCCTAATGCCAGCCAGAGCCTATATTCTACATTATCTGAAAGGCATGCTCTGCAGTTGTTACTCACGCAAAACTCCCATTGATGGAAGTGTGGGTTTTACTGAGTGAGGCTGCAGGATTTGGCCCGAAGTATATAGTGTAACTTTAAATCTAGCATGCACTGGATATTATTCCTTTCTAGTCTGCTGATAGAAGAAATTAGACCTTTCTTATCAGTTACTATTTACATCCTTGCTACCACATAAAGAGGATGTCTCCAGGCCATCTCTATGATCAAGGACATCAAGAAGATCGAAGTTAATAACTGAAGTATCCCAGGGCAAAAGCTCTTTTCCTTTTAAAGAGACCATCTTTTTATACAAAAGTAACAGTGAAACTAAACAGAAGTTGGACAACTGCATAGTTAAATGCTCATGAGAGGTGCAGTAGTAATAGACCAGCCACTGAAGGTCCTCTCTTCCCCCCTATTACCCGCCCTCTCAATAAGCCTCAGCTGTGACCTGCTGGGCCACCTTTAAGTATGAAAAAAAGTAGTGCAGCCCCAAGGATACTCTACCCTTGATCTCTGGACAGCACCATCCAAGTCATTTAAAGTCCATCCACAAAGATGTCAGAGCGAGTTGTGACAATAATTCTCTGACATGGTCACTCCTGACTAGGAATCAGGCTAAAACCACCAACTAATTTCACAGAGGCCACTGAACAGCTTCAGATGCTAACAACTTTTGGTCACTATCAACATGGACTGAATTGGAATCAACGACCTAAAAGTGAAAGGCTTGGGTATCCCACTCCTAATCCCTGAATCAGCTATCCTCCTTTGCCCAGACATGTTTTATGCAATGTAGATTCTAATTAAAATGATTCGTTAAGGAGCCCACTGTAACACCAGGAGCACATCTGAGATAGAGCCAAGACATGGTTATGTAATTTTTTTGTATCTTGTAAAGCCAGCTGCTGTCAGTTAAATATAAACAGCACAAGTCTCTTAGAAATGAGTGTTGAGCTTGGTAGTCTGTGTCATTTGTTATTCCTTTGCTGAAAATGAAAAATGTTTATACACAGTGCACATGAACTGGGTTAAAAGTTGGATGTTTCCATATCTCTCCCAGCTCCAGCCAACCCCCCGCTCCCTCCCGCACCACACACACACACCTGGCCATCCAAACTGCAGTTGCTATGCCCTGAGCAATTAATAATGGGGTGATCCCAAAACACTGGTTTAGACTGGAGGCTTAACTGGCTCAGGGCCCAATTGAGCAAGATACTTTAGCAGATATGCAGGCGAATGAGTGCATTGGCTTCAATGGAACTATTTGAATACTTAAAGTTACACGTGCTTAAATATCTTGCTGAATTGGGGCCTCTGTCTGCTTTTCTTATACTGTTAATTATAATATGCTAACAACAAAACTTTTCCCAGGGCTCTTCTGACATTTATAACTATTGTAAGGTTTTAAAACATTCTTAAAACAAGTTTAGTAAAATGCAATGGTGAAAGAAATGTAAAGAATATTGTATGTTCGGATGAACAATACATGGAATTAACCTGGGAAGTACTGAGAGGCCACAGCATCTCATTGGATCAGCTCAGCAAACCATAGAATCTGGCCCTAAATCATATAAAAAATTTGCATTACCCCCTTAATTTTGCATACAAAAAATCAGGACCAAGTTTGTTACACGTCTGACCTGTTCTACTGAGCTTCTCCATGCTTAAGTGATTATTTATCATCTGTGCACTAGCTATTGACAAAAATCAAATGAAAATGGAAGAGAACAGTAATATACTGTGCATATATAAATTTGATACAAATTTTAACCAGAGGCAATAAATCTTTAATTTGCTCTACTTGTCTAATTTAGTAACATGCATTTACCGGAATAACCACTACAGCAGACAATAACCTAATTCTAAAAAACAGAATCTTGATTATATGACTATGTTGCATATTACGAACAATAAGCTTTTCATAATTATCTCTGTATTTAAATCTGTGTCAAAAGATCTGCATATAACTTCATCTCCTTATATGCTGGATAAATATCATGCCATAATTTACAAATAATTGCAAGTAGCAACAAGATACATACCATCCCACGTTGAATTCCACATGAGCATCAAAGAGCGCAACAACCGGTGCTGTGGCAGCTCTCCATCCGCTAACTCGAGACCGGATCAGCCCCTCTTGCTTGCTGTGTCGGACCACCTTGATGAATCCAGGCTTCCGCATATTCACCTCGTCAACATACTCTTTTAGTTTCTCCTTGAGTTCTTCTGTACATAGGGAAATAATGAAGAGTAAGAACAATAAAAAAATCTATTTATCCATCAGTATATGTTAGCAAAAACATCAACGAGAGCTAAATCTTGCCTTCTGAAGCACAAGAGATAAGGGAGGGTGGTAAGAAACCTCTTCCACAGTGAAAACAGCACATACCAAAACTCTCTTGCACTGAAGTGGGCCAGCTAGTCTGTTGGGCATGGCCTGAGATTAGAGGACATGACCAAGCCCCCGGTGACTAACATTTATACTGTCATTCTCCATCGTCAAAAGTCAGGGACTCACAAGAAGAGAGGAACAGCACAGTGCATTTCCACAGCATGTCACCCCGCCCACTGCCTTGTGGGGTCCTGCCCTCACCAGCGTCATTCCTGCAATACAGAATGCACCATGCAGCCTCTCTGCTCCCCCTGCCTGCACCAGTAGGGGCAGAATTTGGCCACACAGTATATGTAATAAAGATATGAACATGGTGTGAGATTCACCCTTACATGGAGGGCCAGTACAAAGTCTATGCACTAGAGCCCTGTGCCAGACTATTTTTGTATCCTGCTCCAACTATTACGGCAATGGGTCCTGCAGGATCCCAATCTCTCCGCAGAGTTCTAAAAACAGTTCCGGGCAGGGCTCTACTATGCACCATCTGAGCCTCAAAATATGGCTTAAATGTTGCATAGATCTTGTGCACTGATGTGAGGATCTGTCACACTTTCCTCTTACATTTACAATTCAGTAAAACCTATTTAGGGTTTATTACATTCAGTAAAACCTATTTAGGGTTTATTATGTTAGAGATATTATTATTGCCTAGGAGCCCAGACAAAAATTTAGGCCTCACTCTGCTAGGCACTGTACATATACATAGTGAGAGACAGTCCCTGCCCCAAATGGCTTACAATCTAAAGCAGGGGTAAGCAAACTATGGCCCATGGACCATTAGAAGTTTTAATCCGGCCCTCGAGCTCCCGCCGTGGTGTGGGGTCAGGGGCTTGCCCCAGTCCGGCGCTCCAGCTGGGGAGCAGGGTTGGGGGCTTGCTGTGCGGCTCCCGGAAGCTGTGGCGTGTCCCCCCTCCAGCTCCTATGAGTAGGAGCAGCCAGGGGGCTCTGCACACTCTCCCTACCCCAAGCACTGCCCCCCACAGCTCCCACTGGCTGGGAACCGCAGCCAATGGGAGCTGCAGGGGCGGCAACTGTGCACAGGGTGGCACGCAGCTCCGTCTGGCCAGGGCTGCACCTCTGCATAGGAGCTGGAGGAGGACATGCGGCTGCTTCTCGGGGCTGTGGGGCTGGCACCTGCGGACGGGGTGGAGTGCAGAATCACCTGGCCGTGCCGCTGCATAGTAGCCAGAGCGGGGGACATGCCACTGCTTCCAGGAGCTGCTTGAGGTAAGCGCTGCCCGGAGCCTGCACCCCTGAGCTTCCCCACCCCACCCCACCCCTGTGCCCCAACCCCCCGTCCCAGCCCTGATCCCCCTCCCGCCCTACAAATCCCTTGGTCCCAGCCCAGAGACCCCTCCTGCATCCCCAAATCCTTCATCCCCAGCCCATTCCCGCTGCCGGAGCCCTCACCTCCCACTCCACATGCAACCCCCAATTTCGTGAGCATTCATGGCCCGCCATACAATTTCTATACCCAGATGTGGCCCTCAGTCCAAAATGTTTGCCCACCCCTGATCTCAGGGCTTGTCGACTCAGGAAAGTTACTACAATATCAGCTAAGATGTTAATTTAAATCTCCACAGTTATACCATTGTAACCGTCCTGTAGACATTCTTCTTTCAGTACAGGGTGACCAGATAGAAAATGTGAAAAATTGGGACAGGGGGTGGGGGGTAATAGGTGCCTATATAAGAAAAAGCCTCAAATATTGGGACTATCCCTATAAAATCGGGACATCTGGTCACCCTATTCCAGTAAAAGAGGGGTGGGTTTTTTTGGTTTAGCTCACATTGCTTTGGCAGGGGTTTAAACTAAACTGAAAAAAGCCTCTCCTATACTGACAGGTTTCAGAGTAGCAGCCGTGTTAGTCTGTATCCGCAAAAAGAAGAACAGGAGTACTTGTGGCACCTTAGAGACTAACAAATTTATTAGAGCATAAGCTTTCGTGGACTACAGCCCACTTCTTCGGATG